TACCTCAAAAGTTACAGCAGGGATTGAGAAGCCGCAGTGTGTTATTTGTGGTGACGTTCTCTCAGCGGAATCGATGAAGCCAAACAAATTAAAGCGCCATTTTGACAGCAAGCACCTGAGCTTTGCTGGCAAGGACGTCAGCTATTTTAGAAGCAGAGCTGATGAACTCAAGCGAGCCAGACCTGACACTGGCGGCGCCAAGTACCCCAGACAGAACGTAATAGCCGTCGAGGCTTCCTATTTGGTGGCACTCAGAATCGCCAGGACTATGAAACCTCACACCTTTGCTGAGGATTTACTCTTGCCAGCGGCCAAGGACGGTGTTCGAGTTATGATTGGAGATGAATTTGTTACGCAGCTGAGTACGGTTTCCTTATCTAACGACACTGTCCGCAGAAGAATAGATGACATGTCTGCCGACATCCTCAATCAGGTAATCGAGGAAATTAAAGCTGCTCCACTGCCAATATTTAGTATCCAGCTCGATGAATCGACCGACGTGGCAAACTGTTCACAGTTACTGGTTTACGTGAGGTACATTAATGACGGTGACTTTAAAGATGAGTTCCTCTTTTGCAAACCCCTCGAAACAACAGCTACTACGCAGGATGTATTTGACAAAGTCGGTTCATTTCTGAAAGAGCACAAGCTCTCGTGGGAAATGATCGGTGGTGTCTGCACAGACGGTGCTCCGGCCCTGCTAGGATGTCAGTCTGGATTTCAACACTTGGTACTGAATGCGTCACCCAAAGTCATCGGAACTCACTGTATGCTTCATCTGCAAACGTTAGCGGTGAAGACGCTGCCCCAAGAGCTGCAGGAAGTCATGAAAAGAGTCGTAGGTTCGGTCAATTTTGTCAAGTCGAGCCCTTTAAACAGTCGACTGTTTTCCCAGCTGTGCCTGGACGTGCCAGACAAGGCTCTTCTATTTCACACCGAAGGGAGATGGTTGTCCAGAGGAACCCTTTTAAAACATGTCTTTGAGCTTCGAGACGATCTCAGGATGTTTTTCAGCCAGAAAGCAAGACCACAGTTCGAAGCACTTTTCAGCAATAAAAGTGAATTGCAGAAAATAGCTTACTTGGTGGACATCTTTGCCATCCTGAATGAGCTCAGTTTATCACTGCGAGGACCAAATGCAACCTGCCTCGATTTGTCCGAAAAGATCCAATCCTTCCAAATGAAACTTCAGCTTTGGCAAAAAAAGCTAGATGAAAATAAGATATACATGCTGCCTACCTTATCTGCTTTCTTTGAGGAGCATGACATTGAACCCTCCAAAAGGATCTCAATGATCATTTCTGTCAAAGAACACTTGCACATGCTTGCAGGTGAAATTTCCTGGTACTTTCCAAACCTACCTGACATCCCGTTTGCCCTTGCCAGGAGCCCATTCACGGTCAGAGTGGAAGATGTTCCCAAGACAGCCCAAGAGGAGTTCATTGACCTTCTGAACAGCGACGCAGCGAGGATTGATTTCTCAACACTTCCAGTTACCCAGTTCTGGATCAAGTGTTTGCAGCCCTACCCTGTTCTGTCCGAGACAGTGTTGCGCCTCCTCCTTCCATTTCCCACTACACATCTATGTGAAACGGGGTTTTCCAGCTTGTTAGTGATCAAGTCTAAGTACAGAAGTAGACTCGCCGTGGAAAATGATCTTCGCTGTGCTCTGGCAAAGACCATCCCCAGAATTTCTGACCTAGTGAAAAAGAAGCAGTCTCAACCTTCACACTGATAATGGCTTTTTTAGATAACTGTCACAAAATGTAGCAACTTGTGGGTTGTTTTTTCTTTGTTTTTGTTTTTTTTTATTTTTATTTTTTATTTTTTGGATTTTGTTGTTGTTGTTTGAGACAGGGTTTCTCTGTGTAACCCTGGCTGTCCTGGAACTCACTCTGTAGACCAAGCTGGCCTCAGACCCAGAGATTCACCTGTCTCTACCTCCCAAGTACTGAGAGTAAGGCCTTCATTGCCGCCACCACCCAGCTATTATTGTTATATTAAGACTTACCCATGCTACACCATGCTTCAAGACAAATTTTTATTTATTTGTAAATTAGAAATATTTCACAATATATACATATTGTTTTTTTGGGATTAATCACTATGCTTTAATGATATTCAATTTGTAACAATGAAAATACATCCTACATATCAGATATTTACATTACGATTCATAACAGTAGCAAAATTACAGTTATGAAGTAGCACCGAAATAATTTTATGGTGCGGGGGTCACCACAATATGAGGAATTGGGTTAACGGTTCACCGCATTAGGAAGGTTGAGAAGATCTATAATTAACAGTTTCAGGGGATCTGATGTCCTCTTCTGACCATGCTCGGGCACCAGGGATGCATGTCACACGCAGACAAAACACTGATACACATAAATAACTAAATCTCATTTTTTAAATTAAAAAAAAAAGCCCTGCATACAGACTTTCCTAGAGGCAATTTGATGGAAGCATTTTTGCAATTGTGTTTCCTCCTCCAGATAATTCTAGTTTGTGTTAAGTTGACAAAAACTAGCCAGCATATCCTATTAACATTGATTATTTCTTGCATTAGGATAAACTGTGTAAAAGCCACCTCCCATCAGGTATAACCACACTGTTATTTAAACAGCTGGTTTTAAATTTTTGTATTCATTTATTTGGGACGGGTATGGTGTCCCACAGGTTTAATCCCAGAACTTGGGAGGCTCAGGCAGATGGGCCTCTGAGTTCAAGGCTGGCCAGAGCCGTACAGTGAGACCCTCTCTAGAAACAAACTGTATCGGTTGTCAGTTGCTGTGATAAAACACCATGACCAAGGCAACTTAGGGAAGAAAGAGGTTATTTGGACTTAGGGTTCCAGAAGGGTAGGTCCTTCATGGCATGGAAGCAGTAGGCAGAGTGGCTGGCGCAGAATGCCGAGAGCTCACACACCCTTTATAAACTGTAAGCAGCCAGCAGAGACGGTAAGCTGGGAAATGACGCCAGTCAAGCCCACCGTCAGCACTAGATATGATGATGATACATGCGTTACAGAGTTCCAGACCAGTCAGGGCTACATAGTGAGACCCTGTCTCAAACAACATAAAACAAAACACTTCTATTCTGGGTGGTGGTGGCTCATGCCTTTAATCTCAGCACTTGGGAGTCAGAGGCAGGCAGCTCTGAGTTCGAGGCCAGCCAGGTCTAGAGAATGAGTTCCAGGACAGCTGAGGCTACACACAGAAACCCTATCTTGAAAAAAATAAGCCAGTTTCTAGCGATACAATTTCTCCAACAAGGCCATACTTCCTAAACCTCTCTAAGCATTGTTACCAACTATTCAAATACATGAGCCCAAAAAGGAAGATCACATTCAAATCAAATTACCACTCACAATGAGAGAGTCTGTCCATATCCATCTGTCCATCCTGCCACCTTGTGAGACTTGGGGATGGAACTCTGGTCATCAGATCTGTGAAGCGCTTCTATCTGTCGAGCGGCGGTGGCACATACCTTTAATCCCAGCAATCGGGAGGCAGAGCCAGGTGGATCTCTGTGAGTTCGAGGCCAGCCTGGTCTACAGAGTGAGTTCCAGGAAAAGTGAAGAACTACACAGAGAAACCCTGTCTCAAAAAAAGCCATCATTGAGCCATCTTGCTAGCCCTTGAGCAGCTACTTTTGCTTTTGTTCTTGTTTGGTTCTGTATGTGTGTGTGTGCTTGAGAGCACATGTATGCATGCATGCGTGCATGCTCTTATAGCCCATTCGTTCATACAGAGTGATGGGGGATGTTGAGTGGTTTCCCCTATTGCTCTGCCTGTTCCCTGGAGACAGGGTCTCTCTGAACCTGTCCTGCTTTGGCTAGGCTGGCTGGCCAGCAGCCCCAGTGAGCCTCCTGTGCCTGCCTCTCTTGTCCCCTCTACAGGGACGAGGGGAAAGGCCTTTGCAGCCACTCCTGGCTCTTTTTGTTGTTGTTTTGTTTTGTTTTTGTTTTTTCGAGACAGGGTTTCTCTGTGTAGCTTTGGAGCCTTTCCTGGAACTTGTTCTGTAGTAGACCAGGCTGGCCTCAAACTCACAGAGATCAACCTGATTGTCCCTCCTGAGTGCTGGGATTAAAGGCGTGTGCCACCAGCACCACCAGGCTCTTTAACTCTTTGTGCGTGTTTTCACCTTAGCTCTTTCAGCATTCTTGGGATTTGATTATATGCGTGGAGGATTGTTTATTTTTTGAAACAAGGCCTCACATTGTAGCCCAGGCTAGCCTGGAATTTATGGTAATCCTCCTGTGTCAGCCAGCCATGGACCACTACCCACAGTCTAATCAACATATCATTTGTTTTGAGACATGGTCTCATTGCATATTCCTTGCTGGTCTGGAGCTCACTATGTAAACAAAGCTTTGTAGAGCCTAGAACTCACAGAGACCTGCCTGCCTTTGCTTCTGCCTCTGCCTTTGCTTCTGCTTCCTAAATGCTGGGATTACATTTGTATGCTAGTAAGCCTGGCTCGTTTTCATTGGCCTGAAGATTTTAGCAAATGGTAATGCTTAGTATGTTTGAGACCCTGGGTTTAATCCCCCAAATGCTTTCTTTCTTTTTTTTTTTTTGTTTTGTTTTTTGTTTTTCGAGACAGGGTTTCTCTGTGTAGCTTTGCGCCTTTCCTGGAACTTGCTTTGAAGACCAGGCTGGCCTCCAACTCACAGAGATCCGCCTGCCTCGCCTCCCGAGTGCTGGGATTAAAGGCGTGAGCCACCACCGCCTGGCTCCCAAATGCTTTCTTTAAGGCTGGTGTCTACTAATTATTGTTTTTCTTTAAAATGGTTATACGGCAGCCATTCAGATAGTTCATCAGGTAAAGGTACCTGCTGCCAAGCCTGATAATGAGTTATCAAAATCCACAGGGTAGGAGGAGAGAAGACACTTCCAAAAACTGTCCTCAGGTACACACACACACACACACACACACACACACACACACACACACACACTAAAATTTTAAAATTTAGATGCATTTGTGTGAATGAGTTTTGCCTGTATGTATGGGTGGCCAGAAGAGGGCTTCAGATCCCCCTGGGACTAGAATTATAGACTGTTGTGGGTTACCATGTGAGTGCTGGGAGTAGAACCCAGGTCCTCTGGAAGAGCAGTCTTAACCACTAAGAACTCTATCCTTGGGATGGTCAGTCAGTCTGTCATTTCAATTTATGAGGCATGCTTTTGGGTGTATCCATTGAGGGAGTTTCCAGAGAGTATAGATTGAGGGACAACCCACCCTGAATGTGGGCTGGGGACTTAAATAAAAATGGAGGGGTGGGAGGAGAAAAAAGCAAGCAAGACTCTAGAATTCCCCTTTCTTTGCTTTCTGATTGACAAATGCAGGTATAAACAAGCAGCCTCATGATCCTGCCCACCGCACCTTCCCATCTGATTCCGGCCACGTATTTGGTTATAGCAATGAAAAAGTAAATGCTGAAGGAAACACAGGAACAAAGCGACAGTAATTCAACAAGCCTATTTTCTTCTGCAAAAAACGAACCCAAGCTGGGCTAGCCAATACATTCAGCCCAAAGGGCCTCCATCTTTTATCCCTGTGCTGGGATTACAGGTGTGCACAACCACATCAGTGCTGGGGGCGGAACCCAGGGCTTCGCGCATGCTAGGTCAGGACTCTACCCACTGAGCCACATTCCCTTGCTCGCTCCCTTTCAGGTCTGTGATCAACGGAACCAGTAGGTTTATAGTTGTCAACAAAGCCGCCCCGCCGGGACACTCAGAATTCCCAATCTGGAACAAAGAAGCCTCGCCTAGAAGCCACGCCCCTCTGTGAGGTCACAGAGGGTTCGCCCCTACAGCGGAGCCAATAGGAACCCTGGGCGGGGCCTTTGGGGCGGAGTAGCCAGCGGCGGCGGCGGACGCAGCGCAGCGGCGCGATGGACCCGCCAGCTCGTCCTTCCGTCTCCCGCCCTCGGGCTCGTGGTCGCCCGCCGCCGCCGCCGCCGGAGACGCTGCCCACTGCGGGCTTCGACGACGAGCTCTACGACTGCCTGGACTACTACTACCTGCGTGACTTCCCGGCCTCTGGAGCTGGCCGCAGCAAGGGCCGGACGCGGCGCGAGCAGCAGCTGCGCACCAACCACACGGTGCCCGGCGGCCACGAGCGCAAGGTGGCGCAGACCCTGATCAACGGGCAGCGCAAGCGGCGCCAGCGCCAGCTGCAACCGCGGCCCCGCACGCGCCTCACCTGAGCGGGTATGGCCAGGCAGAGCCCCTCGTTGCGGGGTAGGAAATAGAAGCGCCTATATATCAGGCGGGTCTCGAACTCACTAGCGTAGGATTACCCTGGAACTCCAGATCGTCCTGTGTCCAGCTTCCAAGAGCTGGGATGATAAGACATGGGCCACAATGGCTAGTTCTTTTTCTTTCTTTTTAATAGTGTTGTTTTTATGTTTTTGGTTTTTCGAGACAGGGTTTCTCTGTGTAGCCTTGGCTGTCTTGGAACTCACTCTGTAGTCCAGGCGGGCCTCGAACTCACAGAGATCCGCCTGCCTCTGCCTCTGCCTCCCCCTCCCGAGTGCTGGGATTAAAGGTGTGCACCACCCACCCACCCCCAACAGGCTTATTTCATTTTAAAGCTTACAGTCCGTCATGAAGGGAAGTCAGAGCTGAAAGCCCAGTCCACAGAGGTTGATGTTCACTAACCTCTCTTAAACCTCCCAGGACGACCTGTCCCGGGTGATTCCGCCCACAGTGGGCGGGGCTCTCCCACATCAGTCATTCATTGAGAAAATGCCCCATAGACTTGTCTACAGGCCAGTCTGCTGCCTCTGTTTTCCCAGATGACCCTAGATGACAAAAAACAAGACAGACAAACAAAATAGGAGACAAAAGCTAGGTATGATGGCGCATACCTATACACCTATAATATACCTATACACCTATAAATTACCTATACACCTATAATACACCTATAATACATCTATACACCTATAATACATCTATATACCTGTACACCTATAATATACCTATACACCTATAATATACCTATACACCTATAATATACCTATACACCTATAATACATCTATACACCTATAATATAATATACCTATACACCTATAATATACCTAT